GTCCATCCTGCCAGAACTCCAGCGCTGTCCTGTGCACTCTGCAACCTGCCCAGGTTACCTCTGGACTAGAGAACTCCCCCCATTGTTATAAAGTTGAGGAGAGAAAAAGGTCTTGCCACCCTTCATGTGCTAGGGTGACGATGCTGCTCCTCCATAGATGCAGTATGATGAGTAAGTGTTGTTACCCTAGGACACCAAGTTTTTTAATGGCAGGATCACCAGGTAATAATAAGAATGCAGCTGCCACATTGAAGAACTGCTATGCTGAGATATTGGTTGATGTTTTTGGATACATGCTTTTCTTTTATTGTTTTACGGATTTCTAGGGGAAAACGGTATAGAGTTCTGTGTGCATAATATACTTGAGGTATAAACATGAAGATTCCAGAAGTGTAAACCTTTTACATTTGTCTTACATTGTACACTGTGTTATTTGTGGTTAGATGACTAACTATAAAGGAAACCACATGATACATGTCTTTACTGCACCTCATAAAGCCTTCTCATACATCTGATCTCTTCCCACCAACCTGACACAACATTTACATTCATCACTTTAAAGTGATTATATACATACATACATACATGCATGCATGCATGCATGCATGCATACATACATGCATACATACAACTCTGGCAATTTAAAAAAACCTTCCCCCACACCTTAAGGTTTAAGTTCTCGTTTTGGTCTAGGGTCTAAAATAAAAAAGATGACCCACTCGATCCTCAGCCTCACCTGTGCTCCAGTGGTCTAAGCCCCACTGACATCATTATGTGTAATACAAGTCCGTTGATTTGAATTATACTTCAGGATGCTGAGGGACTTTCCGTAAACAAGAGTGGAGGGAGAGAGACTTGAGCAACCAGAGACCTTACTGCTGCAGGACCGAGGATGAGGGGAATATGTCACCATTGACTTCAATGAGGTTGTCTCCAGGCATAGACAAGCCCCCTAGGAGTCAATGGGGATGTACAGTGCAGGTGGGGCTAGGCAAGTTAGATTTTCGCTGCAAGATATGAACAAACAGAGCCCAGGCCCAGCAGAACTTGGTGTGTATGTATTTGTGAATTGCTCTAGAGGGATCGCTTAGGTCAGCTTAAGGAGGCCAAAAGGATGAGTGCACTTTGCTTAACTACCACCCGGCCGGCCGTTGTGTATACACGGCCCGGCCGGGAGCTTCTTGGATACAACTGGGCGTGTATACACGTCCTGTTACATCCACCCGCTATTTGAAAACAGGCAGCGATGCCCGTTAATATACAAGCGATCCGCCGGCTTGTATGACTTGTATGAGGTCCCGTGACGTGCACCCCCCTCCGCAGCTCCCCCACTCCTGCTGTCGAGCCCGGGACAGCATACTGCCTCTGTCACAGGGGATCAGAGGGAGGTCGGTTCATGATCTCCCTCCGGTCCCCTCTCCGCTGTCAGAATGCGGAAGTGGTGTATATTACATCACTTCCGCATTCTCGTGTCACTCTCCAGCTTCAGATGCTGGAGAGAAGCTGATGAAGCAGACCTCTGCTTCATCAGCTTCTTCAGGGGGGTCCTAGGTGACATTGGGGGTCTTGGAGACCCCTGATGTCTCTATAAAGAGGACCTGTCACCTCTTTTGCTATCACATAGAGGGGTTTCTCAGCCCCCTCTGTGATAGCAATAAAGTTAAAGTGACATTAAACCCTCAGATTTTTTAACATAAACCAATACTGTAATGTGTGCCTTACTGTAATCCATGGTTGTTTCCCTTCTCTTTGCTGCTCTTCCTTTTAAATCCTCATGTCTTCTCATGCTTGGGGAGAACTTCCCTTTTCAGCTCAGGGCTTCTTCCTGTAGTGCTGGCTCAGGTTACAAGCCTATAGAAACGTATACACAGACACCGTGTATCCATTCCTGAGACGAGGCAGTCTGCTGCAAAACAGAAGTTCTGCAGAGCATGAGAACAGATACAGATTTAAAAGGAAGAGAAGGGAAACAACCATGAATTACAGTAAGGCGCACATTACACTATTGTTTTATTTAAAAAAATCTGAGGGATTAATGTCACTTTAAGTGGGGAAAAAAATTTTAAGTTTCCCCCCAAATTTTTTTAAAGTTACACATAAAAAAAGAATTAAAAAAAACATTTTTTTAAAAAAAAGTCCCCACCCCTACATACACGCATGTAAACATGCGTCAGGTGCGCATACGCACATGTTACATATCGCCGTGAACGTTGGAATGAGAGCAATAGTTCTAGGGCCATCAATCACCGATAACACTAAACTGATGAGCTGTAAAAGCTTTTAAAGCATCGTGTATGGCGAATTTTGGGTATGCTAGTTTTTTTGCGAGCGCGCGCAATTTTTAAGCTTGACATGTTTGGTGTCTATTTACCCGACGTGACCCCGTCTTTTATATTTTACCAAAGAAGTGGGTAATATTAGTTGTTTTATAACATAATGTAAAAAAAAATGGGGTTGCATGACAGCCAGATATCTAGCATTTTCACATGGCGACACCAGCAGTGCCACCCTCCATGTTTTTCTCATGACTCTCTTGTAATATTATTACCAGTGTGCCATTTTTAAATTGGCAATATCACGTGTGGTGCATTAAAGTTAAAGCACTAAATGGAAATCATCACTGTAATGAACCGTGCAAAAATCATATCTGCGTCTGCTTGCTGTGGGTTTTAGAACTCCACATTTACATCTGATGTGGTGTTACAGTTAATTATTATCAAATGTGGTTTGTACTAAAGTAGGGAAACGGCAAAATGGAAAATATATTTGTGTGTGCGCATTGTTTTCATTTTACGTACATTTAGAAGCATAAAATTGGTTACTGGTTCCAAAGTGTTCCTTAGAGATTATTGTCAGCGAAGCCTTGATGGAGAGGAAGCGTTACTACAGTGCAGTGGTGCTAAGCTGGTCAGTTGGGAACCCAGGTTGGCTCCCAGAATTAATCGGGGTCTAAAATAACAGTAAAGTAGAAGTGTATACATTACCAGCGCCAAATTTCAGTTTTGTTTTTTTTTCTTTTGGTTAAGTGAGGCTTAGTACCAATGCTATTTTGCATCTCTGACAGCAGAATCTGTTTAAGATTCATCACTGTGCTCATATGAAAGTACATATAAACCTTAACTGCATGAGATTTAGGGGGTTATTCACTTAGCTGCCTTCGGCAGCCGAGTGTATAACCTACCCGACCGATGCTCTGCTATTCACTCCAGCTCAGTGCCGTACATCGGGACTAGACATGCTCTGCATGTTCGGCTGAGCCGAAGTGCAGAAGGAGTTCGACTCAGCCGATCCAATATTTGAATCGGCTGAGCCCAAGCTCTGGCAGCTCACTCGCTGCTGTTCGCCCCTATTCTCATAGGGGCCGAGCGGCATTTGGCTGGGCTATTCTGCTCGCTACCTCCTGAGAGAAGGGGGAAAAAATGCTTAAAAATTATTTAAATTAATTTGAAAAAAAATGTTAAGATAAAAAAAAACCATACCAGATCCTTTAGGTCTGGTAGGAATTTTAGGAGGGATTCCAAGT